GCGGCTACGTATTTTTTCAAAATACTCACCACAGTCCTGTTTGCTCTCTCAACCTGGCCTGAAGCCTGTGGGTGGTAGCCAATATGGAAGTTGGCTTTGACGCCTAGCGTCTTCCACAGTTCCTTCATTACTTCACCTGTGAAGTGTGTACCTTGGTCTGAGTTCACCCTAAGGGGAAGTCCAAACCTTGAAAATACATGATTCATTAATAACATAGCAGTGGTTTGTGCTGTGTCATTAGGGGCTGGTAGACATTCTACCCATTTGGTAAACGCGCAGGTTATCGTGAGAAAATATTTATTTCCTCTAGAGGTTTTAGTGAGTGGTCCGACCCAGTCAATCTGGAGGTCCGACCATGGAAATGCAATGCCTCTACTATGCAGTGGTGCTCTGTGAAGTGGTCTGGATGGTTGAAACTGGCCACAGATCAGGCACCCTTTTATGTAGTCCTTGACATCCTTTTTCATTCCAGGCCAATAAGCAATCTGTTTTAATGCTTTCAGCGTGGCATTGTCACCCTTATGTCCTGCGGACGGCAGGTCATGTGCATGGACTAACATCACCCCCCTGTGGTCATGGGGGACCACGAACACAGGTGAGGACGTCCGTCCATGAGCAAAAGTTAGGATGCCCTTAAGTAGTTTTAGCTGTTTGCGCAGCTGAAAGAGGACTTCTAGAGTTCTGGAGTTCTGAAGTTGCTGGAGTGCTGGAGAGTTTTCTGCTGGTTCTGCTCAAGTTCTGTTAGAGACGGGATGATCTTGACATGACAAAAGGCTCTTCCGAGTTCCATGGGATTATAACTTTCACTAGCCACTACTTCTGACGAGCTACAGCCCCATCAGGAGACGCTGGACAGGTAGCGTTAACGGAATTCCATATCTGCTGATAAATCTTCAGAAAGGTAATGGATCAAGTTTCCTACCAAGCGTACCGAAGGAGAGCTGGGCTTCTGATGGAGAGTGTCGGTTCTGGTGAACATTCCTCCCTTCCCATTCAATCTTACTCCCTTTAACTTCTTTCATCTTTAACTTTCCATCAAGTAGAAATTCTCCCAGATATTTAGAAATGTCTGTGTAAAGTGCTTATTCACATCCGTGTGGGTAAAAGATCATAGTTGTACAGTTTTATAAATGTCTGTGGTGCAGCAACGGAAAAATCATGGCCGTATGATTTTTCCTGATTGATTGCTTATATTGTTATTTTCATAATTTGCCAAATTAATGTAAATGTTTGATGTTAAATTTGATTCTGTAAATAAATGACCGCATTCATTTTGATGGGTCAAATATAAATGACGTCTCACGTTTGCCTTTCCTTAAATTCAATGCACGTTTTATTCAGTCCAGAAAAATGAGGAACCCGCGTTAAATGATGAATATATCCCAGCATCTGTTCATCTACAGGTCTGAAAGATAGTTAGAGAACCAACCAATGGTGTGATCTGAGAAACCAATTTCTGAGAGTTTATGACACAAGATGTTATGATCCACAGTGTCAAAAGCTTTAGAAAGGTCTAAGAAAAGTGCAGCACAATAATCTTTAGCATCCAGTGCTTCAACAACGTCATTAAGAACCTTCAGTGAAGCAGTGGTTGTGCTGTGTTGTTTCCTGAAACCAGATTGATGTGGAGGTAAGATGTTAAATGAGTCCAGGTAATTTTTGATTTGAGAATTTATCAGTTTTTCTAGAACCTTGGCTAAAATACAGAGTTTAGAGATTGGTCGATAGTTGTTCAGTGAGGTGGGGTCTCCTCCCTTCAGCAAAGGAAGAACAAAGGCTGTTTTCCAAGTGTCTGGGATGGAGTTTTGTTTTATGGAGAGATTGAAGATGTGGGTCACAGGGACTGTGATGATATGAGCAGCCAGCCTTAAGAAATAAGGTGGAAGTTCATCTGGACCTGCAGATTTTTTAGGATCAAGATCTTTTAACAGTTTATTGACCTCACTGACTGAGAATGGAGAAAAAGAGAAGGTGTGATTAACTGAGGATTGACTTCTAGGAGGGAATTGATTTGTAGAAGTTTGATTATTAGGGGAAGTGGCTGATTTTCTGTTAGTAACTGTGTCAAATAAAGAACTAGAATCAACAAAATATTTGTTGAAACAGTTCAGGATCTCGTGCTTATTTGACACAAGAACAGAGTTAACGAGAAGTTGTGATGGGAGGTCAGATGATTGGGGGGGTGCCTGAGAGAGATTTGATGGTTTTCCAGAATCTGTTAGGGTCATTTAGATTTTTGGAAGTCTGAGATAAAAAATAGTTGCGTTTTGCTGCTTTAACAGCAGTTGTGCATTTATTCCTCATCTGTCGGAAACTCAACCAGTCAGTGTCTGAGCCAGATTTTCTCGCTGCAGCCCAAAGATGGTCTCTCCTGTGCAGAAGGTCAGCTAGCTCTGGAGTAAACCAGGGGTTGTCTCGTCCCTTTATTCTGAACTGACAAAAAGGAGCATGTAAGTTCAGGAAATAAATGAAATTATTATGGAAATAGTTCCAAGTGGAGTTCACGTCATCAGTTAACAGAATACGATGCCAGTCAAAGTGAGACAGATCCCAGAGGAATGACTGTTCACAGAAATGTTTCCTTTTTTTAATTAATCTGGGCTTAGAAGGTGGAAGTTTAATATTTCTTAAAGCCGCTGTCACACAATGATCACTCAAAAGATCAGCGAATACACCTGTACCAGGGAATTTGTGAGGCATATTAGTTAGAAACAGGTCTAAGATGGAGGAATTGTCAGGGTGGCTTTTATTTAATCTAGTGGGGGAGTCGATCAGTTGGGTTAAATTAAAAGACAAGCAACATTCCTTGAATTTGTCACAGAGGGGGGTCGACTTACACCAATCAATGTTGAGATCTCCAGCTAAAAAGACCTCTGTGAATTTTAAATTACCAAGGAATTCCTTAATGGCATTTAATGCCTCAGGTGAGGCTGAGGGGGGGCGGTAGCAGCAGACTACAGTTAAAACCTGGCCTCCATTCAAGGTGATGTTTACAGATAAGGCTTCAAACTGATTTGGAATTGTTTTGGAAGTCACAAGACTTGAAACCAGGGTATCTCTAATGTAAATAATGACTCCACCCCCCCTTTTTTGACGATCACAGCGGTAGATGTTAAATCCATTGATTGCCACGTCATTATTCATTACAGATTTGTTGAGCCAGGATTCAGAAATAAAGATAACATCAGCCCCAGAAGAACTGACCAGGATTTTCACAGCATCAAGTTTTTTCAGAAGGCTACGAGCATTTACATGCAGAAAATGGAGCCCAGAGGCGTTTTTAAAGTCATTTGGTGTGCTGTAATTAGTGGGGGGTCCAGGGTTGGGCTGAATACCTGAGAGCAGTAACAACATTATTATCAGACATTTTCTTGAGTTTTTTGTGACTGATGTGTGATTACAGGAGTTAACAGTGTGGCAATTATCCCCCATAATTGAACCATGAGAAACGTTAATGAAGACGTGATCATTCAGAACCCAAAAACAGTGAAAGTTGCAGTGATGGACAGATTCAGGTGTATTAACAAGATTCAGTGACTCCAGATAATCTGAGAACTGAAAATAGTGACAGTAATATGAATGATGCAAAAAAGATTCAGACCATAAAATGTCACAGTTCAAATGGGCAAACAAACCCGACGAGGTGGCCCAACTGCAGTTTGAGTCAGGCTGAGGGGGGCTCCGGTCCCCCTGTGAAGAAGGATGGATGGATGGATGGATGCTCCCATGAGAAACAGAAGATGGGTCCAGAATCAACAGGCCGAAACAGAAACAGAAAATTCGCAGCAAATAGCAGAGCGAGCTGCCAGAAAATCCTCCTGAAGTGAAAGGCATGGTCCAAGTTCGTTTCAGGTCAACAGGGGCCAACAGCGTGATCCAGAATAAAATTAATTATTATCCAGGTGAGTTTGGATGGAGGCCTGCAGCAGCTCCGATACACACTCCGAACTTCACTCGAGCACCACGCAGCCCTGCTCCTCCACGCTGCTCCTCCGCTTCTCAGCACCCGACAGCACGGGGCACCCCCGGTGAAAAACGAGACTGACCGGAGAGGCTGAGGCTGAAGTCGGCAACTGGTCCGGTCCGGTTCTGCTCCAGTTCGGCTCCGGCGTTCCAAGCACGAGAGACGAAGAGGCTGAAGATATCCCTGGCCCGGTTTTGCTCCGGTCCGGCGGCCCAGTCTGGCAGCGCGGTTCTGCTCCGGTCCGGCAGCGCGGTTCTGCTCCGGTCCGGCAGCGCGGTTCTGCTCCGGTCCGGCGGCGCTTCAAAGCACCGGAGCGTCTCCTCCAGGTGAACACAACGACTCCACGGAGGTGGATCGTCTTTCAGTAAAAGTAATGGGCTGCTCACTGAAGCTGAGACCGGCTCTGTAGAAGACGAATTTCCCCACATCCACCTCGATTCGGTTCTGGTCCAATTCGAGGGTCACAGGTACACTTCCCCCACACCTATGGAGACACCACGAGGGCCAGTCCAGCTGAAAACCAGCGAAATACCACCCGGCGATATTTGTCGGAACCAGGTAGAACCACAAAGGTCCAGATAAGAGTTCGTTGAGGTCCAGAGAGAGAGAGAAAAAACACCGGACCTTCGTGCGTCGACTCCCCAGCTCGAGGGGTCACCTGGCCGGCAGGGTGCGCTCAGAGTGACCGATGGGGGGGGGGGAGCGACCGATCGGTCCAGGGCCAAAATATTTTTTTTGGACGGTCCCGTCCGGCTCTCTGAGTCACTGAACACCGAATTCGGTTGGAAGGAGGACCAACTTTAGTCCGGTTCGAAAAACGGGTCAGTTTGATGATAAAAGACTGCAGAGAAGCCGGAGGGAGCTGCTGTCCATCAGCTCGCCGGAAGTGAAGTCGAGAAGATAAAGAAGATATCATTCAAGAAGATAAATGGGTGTTACTTCCTTGTAATTTCATTGATGAGAATTACTTGAAAGTTTCAAGAAAGGATGTCAAACAGGGCCAAATGTTTTAGTTTCATGCACACTATCCACTCACTTATCTCCAGTTGTCGCTGGATCCTTCCTTTGCTCCGTTCCCGAAATGACACTTGAGTGGCGTTGTACTGGGTCATGACCTCCACGAACTTCCTGGATAGCACAGTGTGCTGGGGACAAAAAAATGACGATGACAGCAAAATGTGAGAAAGTGCTGTGAGCAGTTTAGAGTGGCCATCACAGTACTTAAGATGCTTATATACATATATATATATATATATATATATGTATTTTTTTATTTTTTTTTCATTTAAAATACCTTAAGGTTGCATTTCAGAGATTCTGAGAGTAAAGAATTATAATTTTGAGTATGAGTCACCATGAAAGACAAACTATCATGTAACTGATTGTGTCTTTGCGTGTGTTTGCTTGTAAATCTGTTAGCAAAACATTTCATTAGCAAATAAATGAACTTATTTAAAGTCTTGGAAAGTGATTGGTGAATACACCTTATCATTCAAGATGGCTGCCACGGCCAACTGACCTTAGACAACACAAAAATGTCCCTAACTCTGTCATTTTACTTATATTGAGCTAAAACTGGATGTGGAAGTAGCTAAGACTCATCTATCCATCCATCCATTATCTTTTATCTGCTTCTTCCATTTTGGGTCACAGGGGTCGCCAGTGCCCATGTCCAGCTATCACTGTGCGAGAGGCGGGGGACACCCTGAACAGGTCTCCAATCCATCACAGGCTGAGAATCATTGCCAACTTAAACTCCCAGAGCTAACAGTTAGCTTGAGTTCCTTGTTTAAAACTTTGGATTTAACTGTTAAAGTCAACACTGCTTGTCTGTTAGCAAAATATAACAAACCATTAGACAAATTGTAATAAAAGTCTCAGAAAATAATTACTGGACATACATCTACAAATATTTAACTTTTGAAGTCAACCTGGTTTGAGGTGGCTGCGATAACAAATAGATCTTAGCCAACACAAAAATGGCTATACTGTAATTCAGTCATAATCTTGAGCTAAAATTTGGTTGTTGGTAGCTGAGTCATCATCACCAGAAATGAGTATTATCAGATCTCACAACATCGTTGTTTAAAGCTTTCATGTTCAAGGTAGTGGGTGATATTTCTATTCGTCTATGCCGACGATACAGTTGTTTATTGTCGAACACAGTTACCAAGGTTTTCCAGCTTCTACAGTCTGCATTTGACATCATTCAGTCAGCCTTGTTCCATCTTAAACTGGTGCTAAATGCTGACAAGACCAAGAGGATGTTGTTTTCAAACAGAAAGTTGGTACCAACAATTCTTTTCCACGCATGGTGTTCCTATTGAGTTTGTGGATTCTCACAAATACTTGGGACTTTTAATTGATCTACATCTTTCGTTTAGGCCACGTGTTGAAAACTTAAAGAGACTGAAATTGAAACTGGGTTTCTTTTACAAAAATAGATCTTGTTTAACTCTGAATGCCAGTAAACACCTTGTAGCTGCTACTTTCTTACTGGCTATTGGCTATGGTGATGTTATTTACATGAATGCCCCTGCCAGCTCCTTGCAGATGTTGGATGCTGTCAACCATGGTAAGGTAAGGTTCTTAACTGGCTGTAACCACCGTACCCATCACTGTACTCTGTACTCACTGGTCAGTTGGTCATCATTAGGCTCTCACACTGGTACATCTTCATCTATAAATCTCTCCTTGGTCTGCTACCTTCTTATATCTCCTCCCACATGTCATGTCGTCAGTGCAGTTACAACATGCGCTCTCAGCCTTTATTGCCAGCAGCATACCCTCGGTGCAGACTGAACTCAGCAAAAAGGCATTTTCTTCCTTTGCTCCTGTAACCTGGAACATCTTGCAACAAGATCTGAAGCTGTTTGATTTCTTTAAGAGATTTTAAACATTTGATAAGGTCGTTAGAAAAATCTAAGTACTGGTAACTATATTTTTGTTTTTAGTATCTTACCTTGTTTTATATGGCACCATGATTTGATTATTATAACAACTTTTTATTTTTTATTCATAATAATAATAATTCATGTATATTTCGCAAAAATAGATGAGTGTTGAAGGTCTTATGATATGTAACAAGAACTTCCGGTCATTGGACCGTTTGTCTCACCTGTGTTTTCTGGATCCTGAAGTCGACAGAAGATCTATTAGCAGCATCATCTTTTGGCATACTTTGCTCCATGGCTTCACAAGACAGGAGTAATGATTACATCATGATACAACAATTTCAATGTTTGACACGTGATATCAGCAAAAAGTGTTAAACTCACATTTTAGTTTAGCTCGCACCACATTGGCATTCCCTTTGATGTCGTGGGTCAGTGCACTCAGCTGATTCTTTGTACCTTTGCGTGCACAAAGGGATAAACAAGAGTTTGTGTTTATTTACCAGATCTTAACAAATCTCCACAAGTCTGTAAATATTAAGAGTTACTATGGTTCAGTTTGGCTCCTATGGCTACGTGAAGAAACCCAGAAGTATTCAAGAAGTAAAAAAGTCTTTGCTCTTCCCTTGGCGACTGATAAACAGATGCAGATGATGTGAACTGTGGTCTATTTGTCCAGGAAATCTCAGCTCACACACAGAATAAAGCCAGGAAGTGATGTCTATTCTCATGTTGTTGCTTTTGATTATTTGAAAAGTGTTGGCTTATCATTTGAAAATATTGGGAAAATGACTAAAGCCTCTGAAGGTGTATAAAAGGAGCAGACATGTTTTGAACTACAATGGTTTCAGGGGTTTTGTGTGTGTGTGTGTGTGTGTGTGGGGGGGGGGGGGGGATATAGTTGTTTCCTTTGCAGATATCCGGCCAGCAAACCTTTCATTTCCAACCAAGAATAAAAGGAAACAAGACATCGGCTGCATGTCCAGAAAATCTAAATCTGCACTCGCAGTTCTGTTCAGTTCAGCATTTTGTACACAGCACAAAATCACAACACAGAGCCGTCTCTGTGCGTTGTGTCGACTGAGGATTCAACATGTCCTAAAGACAAACTTACTGTCGTCGGGGTTGGGTGCAGACAGGATCATGCTGTGTACCTTCCTCACCTCTTCCACTTGGTAGGAGATCTTATCAATCAGCCCTCGGACCTCCTCCACCTGAAACCAACCGATAAACAGTTGAAGACTCTCGTGCATGGAGGTCTCCATGTTTAAAGGCACATTCCCACCTTCCTGAAATAACTCTCCATGAAGCCGTCCACATTGTCCACAGCGACTGCCACCTCCTCCTCTGCTCGTGTGCCACTCTGTGCAGATAAAAACAAAGTGTTTCAGGGCCTGGGGCCAGCAGCCTCTGGATGTGGACCCTTAGCCTCCTTTTTTAATGTTTAAATTAACAACACTTTTTGTGGGTTTCTTGTTTAAAGTCTTAAAGTGTGCATGAAAAAATATGCAGCAGAATGAGAATAAAAGTAGATTGGGTTTACTTTGTGCACTGGGTTTTCAAACTGGAATTAGAAGACAAGCAGGGATTATACATGCAGCGTTCACAAATCTTATTTATGTAACAGAATAGCAATGACTAGTTTTCACTAGAATATATTTTCAAATGCAGTGATCAGTTTCACAGCTGAAAGCTTGTTAGCATGTTTCTTACTTAAAAAAAAAAAAATTTTACTTTCTGACAGAAAGTCAGTGAATGTTCACTAAATCTGACAGAAAACTCACGTTATTTCAAAACAGTTGAAGCAAATTAGAAAAATTTAGTTTTGTACATTTATCTACTGTTATAAATTTTATTTTATAACAAACTTCTATGGAAAAGTAGCTAGTTTTGATGTTAGGCTGATTGGTAACTCTAAATTGTCTCTAGGTGTGAGGGAGAGAGTGAATGGTTGTTTGTCTCTCTGTGTCCCTGTGATGGACTGGAGACCTGTCCAGGGTGTCCCCCACCTCTCCCACAGTGATGGCTGGATATGGACACCAGTGACCCCACGACTCAAAAAGGAAGAAGCAGGTAAAGATGATGGATGGATGTAAAGTAGCTCGTTTATAAAATTAAATAACATAATAAAAATTATCAGTACAAATAAAAATAAGGCTTGCTTCTAATAAAAGCCTATGAGGTTTATGAAGTCTGAATTTCTTAGGTTTTTAGGAAGTTTCTGTTTCAGTCTTTACTTCAGACTTTCCTGAATTATACAGAAATGGGTGGAATGACCCCTCCAAGCTGTGTGTGTGTGTGTGGGGGGGGGGG